AAGTATTTGTATTAATTGTTGCTCATATATACAGGACTTTGCGAGTGCAAACGCAAGTGTTCGTCTCATTTAAGTAGTGTAAATATAACGTTCCAATGAGGAATAACATAAACCACTTTCTAGAAGACTAAATATTAATTTTCAAAACCCTAACTTCAATTCAAATCACACAAAAATTTATATTTTGATGAATTTTTTTTTAAAAGAAAGTATTTAAATTAAAATAATTCTTTGGATTTGCAAAATTTTTAATTTAATTTAACCAAATTTGAATTTAAAATAATTTTGTTGCCAATCAGGAGCAATAATAATTTTTAATATTTTTCGATAATTAAAATCTCTAATTTCTAAAGTTTAAAATGCTATATGTCTATGCATTAAATACTTTAAAAATTGACCAATTTCACTTCCCAATATGATTGCTAAAGTTTAGATGATGTAGGTCTACTCTCTGAAACCATAATTACTAAATTCCAATTAAAAATCAGAACTATGTTGATATCTTGAACTTCAAGACAATTTGAAACAAGTGCAAGACAACAACACTTTGCTAAGTAATTTTGGAGTAGTAATAAGCAAATAATTATGTAAGATCTCAACTCAAATTCAAAATTAGATAAAATTTAAAAAGAAAAAATCACAAATCTAACAAAAAAATCACTTAGCCTAGAAAGATTTAAAAACATAAAATTATTTCATTCAAACTAACAATCAAAAGAGTTTATAATGAAAATAATTAAAAAAAAAAAAGATTAATCAAGGCACCTGAAATCCCTTACTTCAAGCCCAACTTTGCTTTGGCATGTTCTGCAAATCTCTTGCATTGTTTTCTTCCTTCTTGCCCTACACTCTAATTTGTTCTCTTTGGCTACTCACACACAATCTCATACTCTCCACACAAGCTAACACCAGGACATACACAAACCGAGACGATCTTCTAGACCACCATTCACACTATTCTGTAATGCTTTTGCACCTTTTAAGCCCTATCAGACAAAAAAATACTATCTTGACTAAATTCATGAATTTAAAATATATAATTATTTATGTTGGGTCATCACAGAATGGCGTTCTGGATAAAGCACCGTGGTACCCTGTCTATTGGTTCTATGCTCTGGTATCGATAGCATCGAGGAGCTGGAAGTATAGCACTGCAGTGCTCCATGTTGGGGCTACGACGCTCAAGTATGGTGTTATGATGTAATACTCACGGGAATTTCATTGAAAAACTTTTTAATATGACGCTACAATGTTGGCCTTGGAACTACTAAAGTGATAGTTATAGTAACATTGCTACAATATATTTTTATGTCCTCGCCATCATTTTTGTCACGTCAAATTCTTGTGACAAAACACAAAATGAACAGCATAAAGACACAAAAAGACATAAAAATTTATATAGAAAACACATAAATTTTATGCTTTTTGAATGCTTAAAAAATTTCCCTTAAATCGCACATTACTTGTCTCTATTAACCATTCAATATAAATTTATATTTTAGAGAGAATCAATGACAACTTACTTAAGAATTAACATAATGGGTGATTTAGTGAGTTTATAATTAAAGTTAATATAAGCTTCATAAAATACATGAATTTTATTGTCTAATAATATCCTAAATTTTATAAAAATTAATATTTTCTTAATTCAAGACTCTTATATACATTAGGGGCATGCATTATTGACTAAAATTCTTTTAATTAATAAGTAATTATAAAATTTTAACTTAATCAATCATATAAGCTCAATTTAGACGTTCATCTTCTAAATATAACACCCTAAATTTAATGAGATTTAAATTATTTAAATTAAAAAAAGATTATGAGTACCACATTTTATATATTAGACTTAAAATTAAGCTTCTTCTTTTTAGCTCTCTTCTATTACTTTTTTTTTCTTAATGCCTTGAACTTTTTCACATTTTTCTTATCAATTTTTTTTCAAGATAGCTACTTTTTAATTAATTTTTTTAATGATTCAAATAATATATTTTCATTTACTTAAATCAATTTTGATTTCTATAAATTTTATTTTTAAGTATTATAATTTAAACAATATTAATCTTTCTTAATTTATATGAATTAATACTTTTTAAATATCAACATTATTTTTTTAATTAAATTATATTTTAGTCAATTATATTCAAGTGTAACAATTATTTGTACAATATTAATCTTTCTTAATTTATATGAATTAATATTTTTTAAATATCAACATTACTTTTTTAATTAAATTATATTTTAGTCAACTATATTCAAGTGTAACAATTATTTGTTATATTAAAAGAATATTAATTCAAGCAAATTAATTAGTTATTATTAGATTAATATGAATTTCAATCGTTTTAATAAGTTTTTTATTTTTTTTAATTAATTTACACACTTATAAATGTATAGATGAATAGATTGTTAATTATGCTACTTTTTTCCTTTTAGTTCACTACATGAATATAGGTGATTTCTGACGTCCAATTCTTATCAATAATTTAAATTTTGCCATTAGTTGTTAAATTTTGTGAGTAAAGGTGAGAGGCTTGTAATCTACAATAAAAAAAAAAAGAAGAGAATAGTGAAAAATTATCATATGTGAATTTAGACATTAATTGGTCTTAAAGAGTCTTAGACCATTAGTGAGTCAAACTATGAAAAATAGGTTCCATACTTTATTTTTTAGGGTTGCACTCATTTGTATGTATCAATCACATACATTTTGAATGTTTAGTACTTAAGATAAATGATTTTTAAAATGGGTTTATAATAATATATATTTTCAAATGAGCCAGCCAGCTTACGAGTTAATGAATCAAATTAGGTGTTAGCTCATCAAGCTCAACTCAAATGCCACTTATCAAGCCAACCCGTGTCGATTTGACTCAATTACACCTCCAAATGCATAGCTCATCAATCAAACAAAAAATTAAAAAAATTAAAATATAGTACCTTCGGATAATAATGTAACCCTACAAATTAATAAAGCTTCAGTATACCCCTGCCGACCTGCGCGCAAGGGCGGTGCGACAAATCATCGTCCTTTTCCGTTAGTTGTTGGTGGAATTTATGTCCTGAGCAGTGACCCATAATCGCTGGCCCAGCTCTTCAATATCTCTATCAGAGGGATAATTAAAAAGTGCGTTTGCAACACTGTTCAATGGAATATTACTTCAAAGTACTTTTTTTCTAAAATATTTATTAATATTTGTTAAAAAAAGATACTCTTATATATATATATATATATATAATGAACATTATAATTAAAATTGGATCTCAAAATTGATGAATTCATTGAAACAACATAAACTAAAAGTTATTGAGAAAATTACATACATACCACACAATTGTCATGTATGTATATATCTAAGACCCATAATTTAATATTTACATTTGTAATTCCTTATTGTCATAAATCTATGCATGAAAAAATATTTCCACATTTAGAATGACAGTGATCAAAATACTTTTTGATGTGACATTAAAAATTTAAGTAATATGAATGCATGTAAATATGAATATGTTTACATGTTGGACAGGATAGAATTGTGTAGTACTTGTGTAAATAGTCCAAAAATATTATTATAGGGCCAAAATAAAAAATCAATTACTTGAACTGCAGTACTGCTTAGGGAAAAAAACTGACCTCATTCCTTCATCCACCTCCTGTCTCCCCCTACTCCTCTTACCACCCTGGCCCAATCATTAAAGAGAACATTAAAGAGGCGGACCAAATTATTTGAGTACTATTTGCTTTGCTTTTCCCCACAGTTAAAAAAATAAAAAATAAACCAAAAAACTAACGCATTTTCATGCTCTCATTGTAAATACGTATATGAGGCTATTATACAAGTTTCTAGCGACGCCTAATGTATCTAACAATTCGAGTATGATCTTCTTTCAAGAGGAGATTTGAACCCTCGACATGATGGGTCTTTATACCGTGAATGCCAACCAACAAGTCAAAATACACGACACTATAATTTTATCTTTACAAGTAAATAGAAGGATAAAGTTATTTATATATCAGCAGAAATGATGATGATAGAAAAAATAAGGACAATTTTTACCACATTTAACCATAAACCAGAATTAACATATACAGTGTTCAGAAATTAATACGAAGAAAAATAGAAATCGACGAGAAAAAGTAAGGATTTAACGAGATTCGACAAACATGTCTACGTCCTCTGGAGCAGAGCGGCGACTTTTTTTCAATTTCAGAAAAAGGGTACAAGATAGTTCTAGGGTTACGAACAAGACATGTATATAACCTGACGTACAATATGTAATTACAAAATTACCCCCGTTCCACTTCGCTCCGCTGGCCGCTTCGTTCCGCTCTAGCAACTCTCTTATCTGGTATATGAGTCATACCTAACATACAGTTAGATAAATAAATAAAACCAGAAAAATACGAAAAAATTTGCATGAAAATTATATATATATATATATATATATATA